GGCAGCTGGAGGGCCAGACACTGCCTTTGCCCTTCCCCCTCCCGCTCGTCTCCTGTTCCCACCCTGGTCCCCACTGATGATTTGGTTAAAGGCCTTTCTGTCCCAGGTGTCAGGAGCGGATGGCACTTGTCTGTGACACAGGTGAGGGGTTTATGGGACGTACACTGGGGTCTCGCCCTGAGACAAAGGAAAAGTTAACGGAAACCCTCCTGCAGAGCCGTAGCTGGGGAATCCCTGGGGCCCCGACCGCTGCCTCCAGGGCACCGGGACTTATCGACAGGCCCCGTGCACCCCTATGTTTCCAAACCAAGTCTGGAAAATCTAGGAGGCGCCACGTTGGGCCCCGAATCTGTCTCAGTATCCGTCAGCCATGGTGGGAGTGGGATCGGTTAACAAAGGTTCTGGGGGGGAGAGTCTCTGCTCAGAGCTGTGCCTGAGAGGGGAGGGTCCCTGTGACCCGTGATGTCCCCGGAGCTGCCTGTTCCGGACGGGACCTTTGTGCGTCTACGCCGTCCCGGGGGCTCTCCCTCCATGTCAGCGTGCGAGGGGCTGGGCCGGAGAGGGTGCTCACCAGATGCTTATTGGATGAACGAACTCCGTAGGCTGTGGCCTTTGGCGAGTTACCGAATAACACTCAGCAGCATTTGTGGGTGTAGGAGCCCCCAAGTGGGAGCTGGGGAGGACCGGAGGGGGGGTGGGNAGAACCCAGGGATCGGGGGAGGCGGGGCCAGGCCCTGTGGCCTCTGAGCAAGGGGATGCCCGTGGTCCTGGTGTCATCTCTTCCTGAGGAATGGAAGGTGGCCAGTGTCTGTTTTCATGACGTGGTTTATGTTGTCAAATATTTTTACTGAATATTCCATAAATTTTCAAATATATTAAAATGCTCTCTAAAAATAGGGACTTCAGTCCATTTTTTAAATTTAGCACTAACATGTGTCACTGTGTTTTCGTGTGTCCCACACAGAGCCTATGGTCGCTCCCTCTCGGGTCTCGGCCAGCAGCCTGTCTTCCTCCGAAATCGAGGTTTCCTGGAGCGTGATCCCGTGGAAGCTGAGCAATGGACACCTGCTCGGCTACGAGGTAACTTCTGAAGCTCCTCTGGGTGTTGCCGTGCTCCCTCGCTCCGGCCATGGGAGCCTTTTAACAGTGACGTCCTTGCTAACGTCCCACTTTTCCCACCCGGCCAGCGTGGCTCAGCGTTTGAGGGTCAACCCACGAACCGGGAGGTCACGGTGTGACCCCGGGTCAGGACGCGTGCCCCAGTTGTGGACTTGACCCCAGTGGGGGGCGAGCAGGAGGCAGCCGGTCAATGACTCCCTCTCGTGGTCTTTCTCTCTCTCCCCCTCACTTCCTCTTTCTGAAATCAATAAAAAAAACATATTTTAAAGTCTGACTTTTGTTGAAGTTTTACCAGCACATTGTCCCATGTGACTCTCAATGGCTATAGAATTTAACTGGACGAGTTGAATGAACTTTAGTTGGGGTAGAAAAGAAAGAAGGAAAACCCTAGAAAGGGAAACGTACCACATGGGCCAAGTTTTCCAGAGGCTTGACCGAGGCAGGAGTGAGATGGGCCTTCGTGGCCCAGTTTCTGGGGTGCTAGTGCCAGTAGGATCCCCCCCTCCGGCTCTTTGTCTGACTCGGTGGCTTGTCGCCTGTGAGACTCTCCTGGGCTCGGAGGCGCCAGCTGTCTGTCACGTGATTGTTGCCCTCAGAGAACCCCCTTTGGTGAAATAAGATGAAAATATGGAACAGAAGGTAACAGGAGACCAGGTGTAGTGACGATGGGACATCAACAGAAGGAGCAGCCGGTGCAGCTTGGGGAAGCCTTCACGCCCAGATAAGAGGCGTGTTTCCGTAGCTTCGGTAACGATTTAAACACTCACCCGGGAAACTCAGTGACTTAGCCGAGAGCTTAATTCCCAGCCGCGAGGCTGACGTTCTGGGTGCAGATTCTCCCACGTGGCCGGGGCTTTGTTCCGGCGTCTCCGTGAGGGCAGAGCACACGCAGCCGGTGGCATCCAGACGAGTTCTCTCTCCGATGGGACGGAGCCCGTCCGTTCCCTGGGCTGCAGCTGATTTCGGGCTGAGCTGGAGGACTCGGCGTCGGGTGTCTCCTTGTGCCCCGTGGTCAGGACGAGGTGCCGAGTGACAAAGGGAGGGCAGAGCCTTGAGGCTCACGGGTGGCGGGCGCCGGGGGCCTGAGAGCCAGGGCTCCTGCAGGGTGCCTGCCGCCCATCCTTAAAGTCATTCTGTGCCTTGAAAGAACAAAAGGTGAGAGAGCTAAATTGAAATATTTGTCTCTGAAAATCTGTATGTATGAACAAAATTATTTTAATCTATTAAATAGCATCTTTGACTCAATACCTGAACTTTAATGGCTAAAAAGGGTGCCATTTTTCTATAGCTTATTTTTATAAACTGCACCTCATTTTAAGTTTAAGTGAAGTGAGATCTCAGATGCAGGGGTATTTCTCTCAGCGGGGCCATTAGTTTTTGGAATAACCAATACTTGCAGAAATAGAGATCGAGTTTTAAATCCCAACACCCTCCCGTTTGTTTCTGTTCACTCACCCATATAAAGGTGCATTGTCTTGTGAAGTGGTTTCAGGGTTCTGAAGAGACAATTATCAAGAAATCGGGGTTCCAGTCTGCCACAGATGCACAGAGGATTAGGTCTCGAGTTCACCAGTCCCCCCGTTATCCTCGGTTTCCCTTCCCACGGCTTCAGGCACCCACAGTCAGCTGCGCTCGAGCCTGCAACCCCGGCAGGTGCCCTGACCGGGAATCGCACCCTGACCTCCTGGGGCCTGGGTGGAGGCTCAGCCGCTGAGCCACGCCAGCCGGGCTTTATTTCATTCTCGATTCCTTTTTTTCTTTAATAATGTAGCCTTATATAAATATTTTTGAGCAAAATTGCATAGAACATAATTGATTAATTCCTTATAGAAATTGGGAATCTTAATGTCACTGCTTTGTCCGCTAAGTGATGAGATAGACGCACCGCAGCACCCCGTTAGTGAGACTCGCCGAGCATGAGGCCGCCCCTGTCCTGTTTCTGCCCCCAGTTAGTGAGACTCGCCGAGCATGAGGCCGCACCTGTCCTGTTTCTGCCCCAGGTGCGGTACTGGAGCAGCGGGGAGGAGGGCTCGCCACGCAGAGTGACCGTGGCGGCGGGGGAGACCTCCGCCCAGCTCCGTGGCCTGAGGAGCCACCTGCTGTACCATGCCGCCGTCCGGGCCTACAACAGCGCCGGCGCCGGGCCCTTCAGCGCCACCGTGAATGCCACCACCAAGAAGACACGTACGTACCTTGGGTGTTGCGGGTGGGGCGGCGGCTTCTGTGTGTTTGAACGGACGGGCCACCCAGCCGGCCCCGCTCAGCCCTGGCGAACGCAGAGCCACACGCGTTTTCCCCAGCTCCCCAGACCTTCAGGGGGACACCCCCGGGACCGGGAAAGCCACACCCTTGGAAGAGCTTAGTGTGGGGTGTTCGCTCAAGTCCGTCCACTTTCCTCTTGAAACGTGACCAACGTGCTTGGCTTGAGGGTCTCTGAGAAAGTTCATGCCAGAGAGTCAGGGGCGGCTTTTCCCCTTTCTCCTGCGTCGTCTGAAAGACGGCAGCAATGTACAGGGAAAGGTCGCCCCCAGACGTGGGTGCAGGCGAGTGTGTTGGTGCTTTAAACCCGAGCGGGACGTCCGGCTGCCGTGAGCCCAGCCTCTGAGCTGTGCCCGCGGGACACTCACAGGCGCCGGCGTGAGGTCCCCGCTGACAGAGGCCCAGGAAGCGGCGGCGTGCGGCCCCGTGGTCCCCGTGCGGTCTGACGAGACGGAGCGCCTGTGTATCTAATCACTGTATTGCGTGGCTCCTTTCTCACCACGCGGCCACTTGAATGGACATCGTCCTTGTCACTGTCACCGCCGTTAGCCACTGAGAACGCCCGGTGTCCCCGGCGGCCCTCACACATCCCCTCGCTCGAACCTCAGAGCTGCCGCGAGGGGGCCCATTACTGCCTCTCTGCTGCCCCCGAGGACGGTGTGGGTGGGAGGCCGGAGCTCACACAGCCGTGCACTCCTTGCCCTTGCAGAAACTGTCTTTAAATTTATTTTCAAAGTGTATTAACTCAGTAAAAGCGTTGTCTCTGCTGGCTTTCTGTGGGAAGGAGACCGTCGTTTCGCTTGTTGCATTTCTGTTTTCACATAGAATTCCCAGGTTTTATGAGAACATGTATCTGTTGGCTAAAATTGCTAAGGACGCCGTTCGTATAAAACTGAGTATCGTTGGCTAGTGTTGTGGATAAAGTAAAATATAGACAAAGCATCCTCCTGCCCCTTTGGGTTTTAAATTAATTAACTTTTGCTCATTTGACCAGGGCTGTTCAGATGTTTAACTTTGAGTTTTCTACAGAAAAGACAGTCTGGCTACCAACTTGCTTGGATAATGAAATTGCAGAAATGCAGCAACAAACCATGTTCGTCCCTGGAGTAGCAAACACTTATCAGCAACCAGCTTAGGTGGCGATTAAATCTTACCCCCCACAATTAGGGAAAACGCGACCCAGCCTCATTCCCAGCCCAGGGTCGGGGTTCGGCCTGGGAGCATGTGGGTCTGCAGATGGACTGGAAAAGTCCTGGCTGTGTGGTTTGGTGGCCCCAGTGTCAATCCTGAGCCAGTAAGATTTAAATACACATCTTTCCATATTCAAAGCACAGCCTCCATCCAAAGTTCTGATACAGAAACAGACGCAAACAAGTTTATCCGGCCCTTTCCCTGGCTTGGTGATTGATGCGAGTACCTGGGAGGAAATTCTGGATGTAAAACCCAGTGTGGCTCAGTGGCTGAGCTGCAGCCTATGAGCCGGGAGGTCACGGTTCGGGTCCCGGCCAGGGCACACGCCCGGCTGTGGGCTCCATCCCCAGTAGGAACCCCACGCACCACCCCGGCCTGGCAAACCTAGTTAATTTTAAGTTTTGTGTTAATAAGTTTTCAAATATACCAAGACACCCGTAAGACGGAATCTCTTAAAGCTGCTCCTGGCAGCCCTCAACCGTCACCCTCACCTCTGAGGGGGCTTTAGCGCCAGGCCCGACCTGCGGGTTTGGGGAAGGCGTTTGTGATTATCGCTAGGAAGAGAACTATCGTCACGCTTCCGGCATAAAGAGCTAAAATAACGGCTTTGGTGACTCGCTTGCCCTCGGGCCTCCCTCTGGACCGTAAACCTCACGGGGACAGAATCCTTGTGTCTTGTCCACCCCACCCTGTGCCCAGCGTGGCCGTGGGAGCCACTCAGTAAACACCGGGGGTGGGGGGCTAAGTGGATAAATAAAACCTACAGAAGCAGGTCAGCCTGGAGTATTCAATGAATCAGATTTGGTTCCTTTGGACTGAAACTGTGAATTGACAACACTGTGGCCTCACCATCCTGCGCTAACTGTGCAAGCGCCCTGTCCCCAAAAACACGGATTCTGTGTCTGTGGCTTTGTGTCCCATAGATCGTGGACGGTATTTTTGATTAGTGTAAAATAATCCGGGGATTAAGTATTGCAGCGTCCACCGAACACTTAGTTTTTTAGACCCAAATACTTGTGCTTTCAGAGAGCGTTTCCGTTAAACACTAATTGGCCTCTTTCATCTCAGACGTGTTTCTCTTACTCGCAACCCAAGAGCCAGTCCTCAGAGCACCTCTGCCTGAAGGCGCTGATGAGGGAAATTGCAGATAACGGGCAGATAAATGCCGACAAGACATGTTGGCTTCTGAAAGGAAACACGGAGACCTTTATGTTCGGAGGTTGTAAGAAAGAACGCGCAGGGCCAATGTCCTGCGCTGTCCCCCCGCACAGTCGGCCAGCGATTCCCGCTCCCAGAGGGAGGGCCCAGCGCTCGGACGGCGTCCTCAGGAACCGTCTCGGAAGATCTCGGACCGAACGTTCCTAAAACTAAGGCCCTTCCACACCTGCTCGGCTCAGTAAACTCAACCCGTGTTTCCGCATCTCAGCCGCAGAATCTCCGCGTTTCCCTGGTACCCACAGCTGCTGGAGAACCCACCCTTCGCCGCCGCGGAACCCCGCAATCCCCTCCCGCGGGCCAGGGCTGCCTCTGGTCCTGCCCAGCCTGTTCTCGCCCTGGCGCCCTTGGGCCCGGCCCCTGCTGGCCTCTGTGACGCAGGGACAGTCCCCCCACGCTCACGTCTGAGTTGACGTCTCATTTCACCTTCCAGCTCCCAGCCGGCCGCCCGGGAATGTGGTCTGGAACGCGACGGACACAAAGGTGCTCCTGAGCTGGGAGCGGGTCCGAGCCCTCGAGAACGAGTCGGAGGTGACGGGGTACAAGGTGAGGGGCTGTCCCGGGGGCGGGGCTTGGTTTTCTCAGTGTGGGCGGTGGGGCTTCTGTCCACAGCCTCGTTTCGACACGCAGACGTCACGCCTTTCATTAAAAGGGCGTTTTCCCCAAATGTCTGACTCCTTAAGTAGAAATAAAGTGAAATAGTTCTGCTCACGTGGGCATTTTGGACACAGTGTTTGTAAAGTATTTGTGTAGGTCTGTTACTTCCGGTGCTATCCATGTGCGACTTTAAAACAACATGCAGCACTGGCCCGGCCCCTTGAGTGATGCTCGCCCTTGGTGCGGAAGGGCTCCGTCCCCTGCAGACGCCGGCCCCGTCCCCCCAGACGCCGGCCCAGCTCAGCTCTCCGGCGGCCACGGCTCCCAGCCTCCTTGGTCGGGGGAACCTGCCAGGCGCCAGCCCCCAGTCTCAGGCCCTGAGTAGAGCTGCAAGGGTGACTTATATTCCGGTGGCGGGAGATTGACAAAGCAAAGCCAGAGCAGCCGGGGCCCATGAAAAACATAAAAGCCGGCAACGTAAATACACGTGTGTGGCCCTGGCCCCTGCGGCTTGGTTAGAGCTTCCGCCCCACCCCAGAGGGTCACAGGCTCGATTCCCGCTCAGGACACGCACCTGGTTTGCAGGTTCGATCCCCGGCCTTGGTTGGGGCTCACGTGGGGGGCGACCAGTCGGGGTGTCTCTCTCACATCGATGATTCTCTCCCTTCACCCTCTGTAAAAAATCAATGGAAAAAATACCCTCGGTGAGGGTTAACAAAAAAAAATAAACATATGTGCTTGAACGTTTCAGGTTTTCTACAGGACTAGCGGCCAGGACAAGGCGCAGGTGCTGAGCACGAACCGCACGTCGGCAGAACTGCGGCTGCCCGTGAAGGAGGGATACATCGTCCACGTCAGGGCCACCACGGCCGGCGGGGACGGCACCAGCAGCGAGCCCGTCAGGATCCCGCGGATAACCAGTAAGCGGCCGCGGCCACACAGCCCGCGCTGAGCCGCCCCCGGCGGGTGGTGTGGGACCCTCATTAACCGGCTGTTCCTCCTGCTCCACAGGTTCGGGCGCGAGGGGCTCCACGCCGGCCACCTTGCACGCCCGCCCCGTGACAACCTGCCTACCCGCGGTCCTGCTCCTGGCACACGCCCTGTGGCGATAGTAACTCCTTTGTACTATTTACTGGAAAGTTAATTGGTTACAAAAAAGTGCTTTCATGAAATGCGGTGATTATGCATGTTTTTTTCCAACTCTGTATTTTTAACTTTCTACGTAGGTAAAATATGGATATAATTATTTAAAAAAAAACACACAACACAGTACATCCTTTTAGGAGAATCTGAAATGCCTTAATACTTGATAAACCAAAGGACTTTACCTATTCTGTACTTCAGACGTTTGATATCCAGGGTGTCCCAAAAATGTGTACACACACTTTGAGTAATTATGAATTCCAACGAGTTAAATCTGAAAAGGAAGAAACATCAGTTGAGCTCTCGGCTGCTGAAGTGTGTGTACGTTTTGGGGGACACCCTGGAGATGTTTGTAAGCTATGGTTTCGAGCCCTGCCTGTGGATAAAGACTCACAGCCTCCCACGTGGACACACACATATTTGTTGTCTTTTATATTAATATAGAAAAGCTCATTTAATCCAAATGTTATTGTCCCCATCGTTCGGGGGTCTTCATCAGTATTATTTTGGGTCAAAAACGCATTTAAAAACTACCCTGTTTGGAAGAGGGTGAGTGGGATTTGAAGGCGGCTTGGAAAACGCCGCCCTGGGCCCGAGGGTGCTCTGCGCCCCATTCTTACCTCTCCCCCCGTCCGTGACTCAGACGAGGGGACGGTCACACCCACCTCACCTGCCTCTGCCCCGAGAGTGACTGGAGGGAACCCTGAGTGTCCTCGCCTAACCCTAACCCTGGACCTGTGCAAATGTATTTACACAGGGTGCCGGGACGAGCTGGTGAGTAATTCCTGTGCGTTCCTGTGCTTTTCATTTTCGACACGATTTTCAAAGCTTTCCTTCCATTCCGGGCAGGCTTTTATTCCATTCGATGATATTATGGAATCGAAATGACCACACTCTATCCGTTCTCAAACATTTAAAAATAATAATAATAAAAATGAATTGTTTCCTTCCCACCGACGAGCTTTCAGGTTTTATTAAAACATAGTGGAGGAAATAAGGAAGGACCTGAATCCCAGCCCACGTGCTCAACAAAACTCACACGGTTTTTCATTTCCAATTTCTGGTTCCATTAAGGGACCCGCTCTTCTCTGGGCGTCAGAGATGGCTTTTTAATGGAATCCAGCCGCGTCTCTGAGCGCCTGGCAGGCTTTGTGGCTCCCGAGTTAAACTTGGGATGGAGCCGGGCGCTGCTGCTGACTTTGATGTGTGGGGCTCGCCGCTCCGTGCCCGGTGTTCAAAGGCTTGCCAAGGACAGGACTTCAGAGCACTATATAAAGAACACGGGAAACCGGCAGATTGAGTGTTAGACGTTGGGAAATCAATTTTTCCCTCTTTTACCAGTTTCACGTTTTGCAGGAACTTGTTCTTTTCCGCAAAATTATCAGAATTTGAAGGCAACAGTTCGTGTACGGAAAATAGAGCATTGCTTTACGTTTAGAGATGACGTTTAAGACGAAGTCGCTTTTCACAGAGAAGAACGATATTTATAACTTTCTCTGCGAGGTCTGTATATTCTGTAAATACCTAGGAAAGTCTAACCGTTCCTCCTTAGTGAGAAGCGCCCTGGAAGGGAGCCGCGCCGTGTTGTTGCTCAGTCATCCCGCTAGTTCCCGGGCTGTCCATCTCCAACAGGATCGCTGAGTCGCGGCGTTTCCCGCCATATATCTCCGTGAGATTGTATTTTGTTTCATATTGAAAAGTACACAAAGTACCCTTAAATTTCCGTGTGTGTATCCTATGGTTATCTGTATGTATGATTTTCTATTATGCTAATAAAATTTATAGCAATCCATTGCCCATGCGTGATTAATTGCTGTATGGTCAAAAGGAACGCTTCAGCGGCACCAGGATACTTACATTTTTGGCCCAACTTTTACTCTTTCCATCCTTTAAGAGGATCCCTTAGGAATGACTTGTATGCCCCGCTGACTGAGTGAAGCCAGCGCTGAGACAGTGCCGTCCCTAGAAAGGCGCTTGGCGGGGGGGGAGGGGGCGGAGGGGAAGCAGAAAACGCACTTTGTGGAATTACGGTGTCGCGTTTGTTCTGTTTGGCTGACGGCAGCCACTTCCACATTTTTGACAGGTATTAAGATTGACATCCATCTGCCGGGGGCTTCACAGACTTTCTCATGGGTGCCTGAGTCAGAGCCTTGTTTTTAAACAATCCTCATGATATAAAAGATTCTAAATATTTGAAAAAAGACTCTAGAAAAAGATTAGTTTCTAGTTAGTAGAGAGCTTTAAATGTTACTGTTGACGTCAGGAAAATCAGAGCAGTCACGAAATTGGCAATTAGTAAACTGTCCCTCCTTTAGAAGGAAAAGATGTCAGGGGACAGGAATACACTTCTGCAGAGGAGACGCTCAGTGCCACAGACTCGCAAAGGAAATGCTAGGAGCCGGGGCCAGGGCTCGGGAGGTCCATGCGCAGCACGGCAGGTTCCCGCAGAGAGAGCGGTGGACGTGGATCAGCCTGAATCTGGAGCTGCTGCTTTCCCAGGGTGACGCTCATCGAAACTCTACAATCCTGTGTTCGCGACGTTCGCCGTCACTGAGAAGCCAGGCGATACCCCCAAGAGCGTTTTCTTTCATTCTTTCATTACTTTTTATTTTTTTGTTAATCCTTAGCAGACGATATTTTTTCCATTGCTTTTCAGAGGAAACGGGAGGGGCCGGGGAGGGAGAAGCATGGATGTGAGAGAGACACGTCGATTGGTTGCCTCCCGCATGTGCCCCGACTGGGGCTGGGGCGCAAACCGGCAACCGAGGTCCCTGCCCTTGACCAGAATCAAACCCAAGACACTGTGGTGCTCAGGCCGACCTCCAACCACTGAGCAGCCGGCCCCACCTGCCAGGACAGCGGGGACGGGAAGCTTTGGAAGCTGCTGCAGTGACTTGCCCGAGGGGTCTCTAGATCTGAGGGTACCCACAGGCCCGGCGTCATGCCCAGCTGTGAGCTGAGCGGTCCCCTGGTAGGTCCACCTGAGTTATATCTTCGACGGGAAGACAGGGCGGGTGAGGGGTGGCTGACGCGCTTCGGAACCCACAGCCCGGGGGTCCTACCTCCCTGCCCACGTGCTCGGCACCCCGAGTGAAATACTTGACCCCTCAAAACTCTCGTCCTCACCTGTGGGCAGGAGCGAGCCCAGCTGCCTCCACTGGGTGCTAATCCCCCCCAACAATCCCTATAACCTGGGCCTCGCACCTGAGACACAGGCCTCCGCTCTCCAGGCTCAGAGCCCACGGCCTCCGTCTCCTTCCAGGGTCTGCCAGGAGGTCAGTGCTCACTTCTCAACACTCGGCGCTCTCGGCGCGTTTCGTTCCCGGGTTTGTGTCACCGTCGTTGATCTCCTCGGTGGTCATGCTTGCGGCTCGAGGTGGAAAGTTTCGGGAAACGCCCACAGCTTCTCAGGTTGAAAGGGAGGCAGAGGAGAGGCCTTCAGTCCTCCCCTGGCCTGAGCAACTTCCCCAACAGTCACGGGTAAATCACTCCAGGGCCGCAGTCCCTGAGCATTCGGCTTTAATCACCCTTCCTTGAGGCTGGAATTTTAAAGAAAAAAATGCACTGAAAAACATTAACGTTTTCTCCGTTTTCTCTAACAGAATATTCGCTCTCAGGGTTTCCGCTCTTTCAGAGCTTTTCTTTAAAAAGGGTGCCCCTGACCCTCAGAGGCCTCCCACCCTCAGGCGAGAAACGCACGTGAGCCGTGGAAAGCCTGCGCATGTGAGTTAGGCTGACGTGGCCTTGACGTTGTGATTTTAAGAAGAAAAGTTTCTTAATGAAACATTGATCTGGGTTCTTTCTTTTCATGGACAATCCAGGTCATGCGTCACCTAAAAGATGAATCATGTTCCCACAAGCAGAAAAAAAACGGGAAACGTTTCGGCCACAGAACGTGGGCTGGGACGTCTTTGAGGCCTCCCCAGCAGCTTCTGCTGGCTCTTTACTGGGCTGTTTCTCGAAAGCCCCGTGTTTCCGGGGCCCTGAGCTACACTGTGCTCGCCAATTGTGGTGCGTGGATTCTCTGATGTCACAGAATGTTCCGGAATGTTTCTGTGGCCCATGATGCTGGCGTGGAGACGTCAGCGGGTAGGACCACGATTCCGAGACNCTCTGATGTCACAGAATGTCCCGGAATGTTTCTGTGGCCCATGATGCTGGCGTGGAGACGTCAGTGGGTAGGACCACGATTCCGAGGTGTGGTGCAGAGGGAGCTCGTGGAGAAGCCGTGTCCTGACAGCTGTCCTTATAGAAGGAGGTTTGGGGATCTTTTCTCTGTATGAGAGTTTTCCAGACCTCCCAGCATTTTCAAAATTTAAACGAATCTACAGAAATGAATAATTTTTTTGTCAATGCCTGTCCTCAAACTGATGACTGTTCTGGCCCAGGCCCTGCCGATAACGGGAAGCAACGGAATCGCCAACATCAGGAATCATTTTGTTCGGTATTTGTGCGCCTTTGTCAGCTGTTGTTTATACACTTTTACAATAAAATAAACTACACTTACAGAAAAGCCCCCACAATACCAAAGTAGACTTAATTAATTATTCCAGGGCAGCCGTTTCTAACCACCCTCAGGCTGAGAACCGCTCCTTCCCCTCCCTGCTCCCTGAGTAGCCGTTACCCTGACTTTACAGTAACTTGTTTTATCACCCAAATACTNTCAGGCTGAGAACCGCTCCTTCCCCTCCCTGCTCCCTGAGTAGCCGTTACTTTACAGTAACTGGTTTTATCACCCAAATACGCATCCCCAGACACGTCAGCCTCACCCCCTATTTAAACCTGACATATCTTTTTAAGTTTCTCTTAATCTACAGGCTCTCTCTCCATCCTTTATTTTTAACTCCCAGTTTTTCAGCACAATAGGACCCATCACTCCTGGTGGTGACGGGCCGGCCCTGCCTGTGAATAAATTCAGCTGCTGCGCACCGGTAGCTATTGTCTGTTCAAAGACTCATGAGCCACCTTTCAACGACAACAAATCACTTCGATTTGGATATTCCTCAATCTTTATGTATTTTAATATTCCTTGGGGGACAGAAATTGTTTGGAAATAAAATTTGACATTTACTTAAACAAATTGATTGAATAGGTACAGGGGGGCTGTGTGGTGTCTCCCAGGAGCAGAAGCAGAAGCCCCGAGGTCAGCTCAAGGGCAGAGGGGTGCTGGTTACCGTGAGCCAGTGTTGCCGGGAGTTAAATGCTCTGGCTGAGCGGCCACCCCTCCGTGTAGAGCACTCTAGGGCCACTTGTCATCAACTAATGTGCATTTCAGGAAAAGCCGGGTTCTGATCTAGTGGGTGTCGGGCAGGGCCTGGCGCATGCTCCCTGAGTGACTCCCAGGTGAGTCCACACGGCTGGCCCATGGAGCCCCTCTGGAAAATGCGGGGCCCCCACCAACTGGCCAGCTGGGCGGTGCCATGTATCTTGCTGTGGAGGCTCCCGCTGTATTCACAGGTCAGTGTGCGTGCAGTGGGGTGCTGGCACCTGAGGCTGCGGTGACCCTGCAGGGCGCCCTGGCGGAAACCCTGAAGACACTGCTTGTGTTGAGCGCAGAGAATCGGGCCACTGGGCCTCGGGAGAAGTCACACCTGGACGTGATGGGCCCTCCCCTCCTGAGTCCACCTAAGGACTTTCCATTTCCTGTGGCCATTTTCGGGTGTGAAGTTCCTAATGGTGATGGATTGGCCTGGATCGGCCTTGACGGAGCACAGACATCCGTTCCATTGCTTTCCTTGTAAACGGAATTATCATTCCTTAGATCCTTGCATGAGGTAGAAAGCAGAACACAGAAAGTATGCTGGCTGTCGGGGCTTATTAGTTAACTGCGCCGGTCTCCTAATTAAGCGTGGACTGTTAAATGGAGCAGCACCAGGCTTAGGACTCAGGGAGCAGGTGTGCGAAAGGCCTCGGTAAGCATTCCTGCCACAGTCTAATTAGCGCTCGGCTGCGTTCTGCAGAGCAGTCATCGTTATTTCTCCTTCATTAGCTGCTGATACATTGTATAAAGCATCTTATGAAAATGTTCCGACCAACTCTCAGAAACGTGAGTATACCCAAGGAAGAAATGCTGCAAATGTGTTCCTTTAAACATGCAAATATTTTTTTTTTTTAAAGACAGCTTGTAATCTAGGCTGAATGTGTATTTGTATATGATAAAGTAAACTTGTAAATATTTATATTTGTGCAAATTCCTTTACTTGGAGTTGCAGACAGTGCCTTACATGGGGGAAGAATGAGTCCTGGTTATTGTCATTTCTGTGTCAGGAAGCTACTAAGCAATTAAAATGAGGGGTCCAGCCAGGACGGGGTGGCTCCGTGGTCGAGCATCATCTCCTGCACCAACACGTCACCGGTTCAACTCCTGGTCAGGGCACATGCCCAGGTTGCCGGCTCGATGCCAAGCTGGGGGCGGGCAGGAGGCATCCAATGGATGTTTCCCTCTCATCGATGTTTCTCTCCCTCTCCCTTTCTCTCTCTAAATTCAATAAAAACATGTTTTAAAAATGAGCACATGTGTAATCACACCTACATGGAGGTACAGATTCAGGTGAGGCCACCTGGACAGATCAATAACCTCATTGAGGGTCTCGGCTGTTCCATCTTCCTGTCTTTCATGAGGGCTCGTTGTTTTAATTCTGTAAATTCTGTTCCATGATACAGATTAATTGCAAGCATGTGAACAGCCGCGAGTTTATTTGTCCCTGACAAATACCAATCAAGCTTGTGAGTTTGGCGTTTGTTGGTTGATCTCACGTTTGCTGCTGATGCCCAGATACCGTAGCAGAGGCA